TCATATATCATTGGAAATCAAGTTCCAAAATAATTATTTAAATATGTTATTTACTTGAATTCTGTTCACTTTTTGCAGTAATTATGAGGGTTCTAGTTTAAAACACATCATAATTTTTGTTTTCATTGCTAATATAAACATGTTACCACAGCAATTTAGCTTTTCCTGTGAGCTCAAAGAGGTGCTTTTATATGATGCAAGTTAAGCTTTTTAAAAGAAATCCCCACTTCTGCTTTTCAAAAATCAAATAATGTTTTTCCTGAAAAAGCATGGGAACTATTTGATCAGGTATATGTGCAGGAAAACAGTATAAACAGTAGGCCTATATACCCTTAAACATTCTGAAAAGTTTCGGTTATTTTATTGCTGCATGCTCTGGAATACTTTGCATGCATGTCTCGCATTAAGCAAAGTCAGTAAATACCACATTTGTTAACATCATAGGGGAGGGGGCATCTTAGGGGAGGGGACCCCCCCACCCCCAACAGCTATGGATGCCTCTGAGAAGAAAAGCTTTCTTTCTCAGTAATTCTGATGAAAAATACTTCTTTTCTTTTTGCCCCAGCAAATAAAGTAAGTTTCTTTTGAACAGACACTTTTCTTTGTTTTGTACTTAGATGCCTGATGAGAAGATTGTTGTACCATTCCTAACCCATGTCTCAATCTTTTGTATTGAAACATAAAAGACAAACCGTAGCCTCCTTTTCCATATTTATTAATGCTTCTCATCTGCTTTGTTCAGAAGCAAAAGCATTTAAATATACCCTAAAGGCAGATCTCCACCGATTATTATCACTTGTTTCTCTAGCCAAAGCTGGTTATTTACTTTTTTAAAGAGTCCCATCTGGTTTTAAAGGATGCTTTTATGTTTGTGGGATCATTACAGGTTTTAATTTTAGGATTGCAGAGCTGGTTCAAACAGAATGAAATTGGCTGAAACAAACCTGCAGGAGTGATTAAATATATGAGGATTTTTTATGTTTAAAAAAATCCCTTATAAACGAAGCAGACATATTTATTTGTCTTGCTAGCATGCTCTGGCTCTGAAATATTAGAAAACATCAGCAGCCAGTATAATGTTAGTCTATCTAGATCCCATTCATGTGTTCACCTCCTCCTGCTGCATCCACATCAAAGCAAGCTGAGTCAAAGTAAAGAGGGCTTTCTTAATGAATCAGGTACCATGATGCCTGCTTCCTTCATCTCGACTTTGTGTCTTGCCAACATCATAGTGGTTTTCTAAGCAACAGTAAGCATTATCTGCATGCTACCTCCCTCTAGTGGAGGTAGCAGACAATAACAAGTATTGTTTTCTGCGGGTGTGAGGCATTAACTCTCTATAAGGCATTAACTGCATTAACTATCAAAGGTAGTTTTTATTCCAAAAAAAAGGCCTCTTTTCTTTCATAATAAAGAAACGCGTACAGTCTCTGTCATAAGTTTACGTATACCTTTCTATGACATGAATTTCTTAAAGATATAATCATTTATTCATTCAAACCAAGGCTGATCAATACAGAGTGAAGACAATCCAGAATGCTGACTATTTGATCACTCTTATTATCAGAATTGCTGAAGTTTACTTTATCCAGTTGGTTTCATGGAAGAGGTCTGGCATTTGTGCATGCTTTATATATTTTGGTAGGGCTGAGAATAGGATTGTTGACGTTATTCACTCCAAATACAGTCCTGGTTGAACATAGAATAAAATAGAAAAAGAAAAGAAAAACCCTTTATTGTCCCACAATGGGTAAATTCTGGTGTTTACAATAGCAATAAGATTATAAAAGATTATAGCCTATAATCACATAATAGTGAAGAGTTAAAAAAATGCACAAATGAAATACTGTACTGTACAGAGTTTTAATAATATAAATACTGTACACCTGGAGAATAAATAACCAATATACAGCTATGGACATTTTTACAGTAAAGGATATTTAAAAAATAGTAGCAACCTCACAGATGTGCAAAATGACAGCAGCATGTTATTTAACTGACTAAGGTAGAAACTGTGCAAAATCAGCATGAATGTAACAACCTATTGAGGTTGTTGAGAACAGTGGTGGTTCTAGAGTCTTACAGGTGTTGGGAGGAAGGATCCCTATATACCGTGGTGCATTTAGAGTGCAGTAGTCTATCACTGAAGGAGCTCTCCAGATCTACAACAACTTCATGCATGGGGTGGGAGACATTATCCAACATAGATGTTAATTTAGTTAGGATCCTTTTGTTTCCCACCTCCAGTATCTGGTGCTAATCCTTCTTCATTTCAAACAGCTTTTTCTCAGCGGCAGCAGTAAAACAGACATCGAATCACATTACCACCCCATATCTGACAGTAGCTACAAGGCTACTGTCAGATATTGACAGTTTGAAAGCCTCATATGGACTCTTCATTAATTGTGTCTTTAAGGTCAAACAGCTCAATATTTGTCTCATCTGATTAGTAAACCTTTCTCCAGTTAAAGGCCAGATTGTGAACAGGGGCCTCTGCTGATTTCAAACAAAGTGATTTTTTAAACAGGAATGTCATTTTCACTCACTGCCTATTCAGCTCCAATCAGCCAATATGTTGATGTCAAACTAGCTTCACCGTGGAGAGTGATATTCTACCATCTTCCATTTTACAGTAATTAATTTCCTTTGATGTGAGAGGGACAGTTTGAGTCAGCTGGGTGAGATGTGGACTTAGCGGGGGGCTCAAAGAGGAAAATTAATGCAAACAAATCCCAAAACTGCTGGTAGAGGGATTACATTCTAGAATGACTCTGGCATTTAATCTGATAAATGTTTGTTTACTTTACTAGATAGTTGAGTGCATAACAGGACAATGAGTCATACTAAATGCCTCATTCAAGAGACTTGAATGATCCCTAAAAGCTTGTTGCTCATTTTATAAAACTTCTCTGTTTAAGGTGCAACTTGCAGAGGTATGTTTACCTGTATAATTCAGAGTTTAAGCACCTATATCTAAATTTTGCTCAACTTTGAGCTAACACCACTAAGACTTTTTGTTTTCAGTCCTTAAAGCTCCACAATGTATATTCATTTTACCCTCTCCAAAAGAACATTTTAAAAGCATGATTTGAGTCAATGTTCATGTCCATGGCCATGATGCTTGTGGATGTAATCTTCTAAGTTGTAAAACAAAAACAAAAAAACGTGTCCGTCATATTATTAATGTTAGATAGAAATCCCTGCTGCAGCTGTACACTCCAACTGTTGAAAGACATTTTCAAACAGAAAGGTCCACTACTTTGAATGCCAAATGTACCTTTTGCAGGTACTAATTCATTTTGCCCCAGTGCAAAAATGCTTGTCTCCTTCATTTGTATTCATGTGTTAAAATTAAATATTTTCAGGAGATTATTAAAATGGGTAAGGGTCGTCTGTTTCTGCCATCATCAATCTGCATATTGCTATAACAAAATGTCAAACTGTGGAAAATAAAAAAATGAGAACCATCTATCTATGCAATAAATGTTCACTTTCTGCAAAAAAATTGTTGAGAATAAAAGTGAACATTTATCTCTCCCGAATAAACCTGAACCCCTACTTGTTTATTTCACATTATAGGATTTATTAATAATAATAAGAGAAGCAAAACATGGCATTTGTTTACATTATAAATCATTTATTGAAATATAAATCATCTGAATGTACATAACTTCAAATAATGAAATGTATTAAAACATCGTACTTGGTGTGATTATCTTTAACTACAGATAGAGTACCATCACCGACACATCACTCACAGCCAATCACATCCACACCGCTCTATACATCTGAGGCTAGGAGAGAGATTACAGTATTTTAGGCTCTGCCTGCATATTCATCTGCAACACGTAAGAAAAAGCAAAGTGCATCAATGATTGTACTTTATATCACAGTCAGTAAGAGGAGGCAGAAGTACAGCTTCTAAAGCGAGAAGATAGGGGCGGCGCAACACATGTATAAGTGACAGATGTACCACAACACATCAGCTAATAGCTGTTTAATAGTAAAGCCTCATGATGGTGAGAGTGAGTCTGCCGAAGGTCAAAATGGTTAGACAGGTAAAAAAACAACATGAAAGATTATAAAAGGTCTGTGGCCGTCATTTACTTGTTCCAACACTCGCTTGGCTTTCATCCATTTTATTGTAAAGCTCCCAGAAATGCAGTTGCATGGCCTGCAACTGATACTTTATCCCATCTCATTAAAATAACGAAGGTTATATAGTTTTTTTTGTAGCCATGTTCTAACAAGATATGGGCTGGTTATCCATATCAAGACTAAATTTCCCCGATCGTTAAAATTCCCACAACTTAAAGCCCTTAGTGCTCGTGTTGAAAAGTTTTTTCAGTTGTTTGGAGAATTTACAAACACAGCACTGCCTCTATCCAACCAATACTGCATAATACAGGCCGACAAGCTAAAGGAAGAAAAATGCACTTTCCTCGGACTTACAAAAAAAAAAGGATTTGTAAGGTAATGTGTCTGTTTAGAAATATTCCAAGCTGTGGGTATTATTTAAATTAAATCCAAATACCTTTCTGTCAGACATTTTGCAATAAAGAGCATAAAACTACTACAAAATTAGGCATGATATTTTTTGGAGGACATATGTCTACTTATCAAAACAACATTAAATAAATGTTGCTTTTCTGTTTTAAACATATTCCATTAGGTCATGCTATCTATTTCAGCTTGAAATAAATACCCCGAGTTAACCAGCCCATATCTTGTTCTAACCTATTTATATTTCATTTTGACATTAATTTGTTTTTTTATGGACCATCACTATAACACGTGTTTCTAGAAAGCAGTAACTTTATAGGACGCATAGAAGACGCTATAGAAGCTTATTTTATACTCACATACAATACTAGACAACTAGTAATTCCCTCATATAAAACAACTCTGGAGCTATTTACATTACAATCACACTTCATTTAAAAAATGCCCACATGTCAAATATGAGCTAGATCTTTACCTGGGATCTTTTTTTGTTTTTGGGGCCAAAGTGGACAGGCAATACAAAGACTAATGCAACTAAGAAGCTCTTCTCACGCCCATTCAGACAGATATGATTGGTTACTACCTGCTTGTTTCACAATAATACATGTTCTTACACCAGTGACGTAAAAAAATAAATTTGAACTACTGCATGTACTTAGCTATTTAAAACATTATGTAGTCACAGAGAAAAAGATGCACTCAGTCCAAATGTTGTGCTTAAACTCAAGGTTTTGCTACTGATTGTGCCAGCATCAGGTGCTTCAACTGTAAAAGGTCTTACTTCCTCATAATACAGTTCCTGGTAATGGAATCGTATAGCAATAATAGTGCATTTGTAGTGGTATATTGTAAGAGTTGTGAAGTTCTTGATTTGTTCCTTCTTGCTTATACTGTAGTTAAAAAATGCCCAACACAATAAAGCTTTATAAAATGAAGATGTTTTTTTTTTAACTGTTTGATCTGGATGGGTCAAACACAAACGTTAGCCTCCTCCCTTCTTTCAGTCCCATTTTCATTATTGCTCGTCCACATCTCCAGCCCAAGAAGGGTCTTTGTCCGCGGAGAAGTGATGGGCGTACCTTACGTCACCTCTGACTCACAGAGACTGGCAAGTGGTTTTGTTCTGTCCTTGTAGAAGGAGTGGCATGGCTAGAGTTTTTGGCTGATTTACAGGTCTCGCTCTGCTGTCCCATGTCCTTGCAGCTCTGCCCATTGCCACCCTTTGGTTCGGCAGCTGTCACAGAAAGCTGTCCTCCACCAGATCGTTACAGTCCAGACACATCTCGTCCAGCAGAGTGATGTCCTCCAGGGTCTCACCCTCACGCTTAGCATAAGTGGAGCTACTTGAGCCAGTCTCAATTGCGCTCTCCTCAGATGTTTGAGAGCTAAACCAGGAAAGGACAACACATGATTTGTAGCTTTTCAATATTTTGTCACATAACTTCCATAAAAAATCAGTATATTTTAAAAACTTTTATACTATGCATACCTGTGTCTGTTCCTTTTTCCATACTCGTCATCGGATATAGGGTCCAGATCGGGGAGGGGAATAATGTAGCCACTGTCTGAGCTCAGTCGCTGTTCGTCGAAGCCGCTTTCCCTGTCCTTTAGCTTGCCCTGGTTCTTGTACGGTATGTCAACGTAGCCTGAGTCAGTCTCCATGCATACTCTGGTGACAGCAGGGTGGTCACTCTTCAGGAACTCAAGGTTCACTTTCTCGTAATGCTGGATAGAAAAGAAGTAAACGCCTTTCGTTGGCAAAACTAAAAAAATATATATCACATCTCAAATGGTGCAGAGTAGAGATGTACCGGTACACATACAGGATGTAGGGATGTACACATATGATTAGGAAAATAAGGTTCTAAGAAGGAGAGAGGTGTGTGAGGATTTTTATTTATTTCATCATCTTTTCAGTTGGTGTGACTTAAACTGGAAATCATCCAAACATCCTAGCCAAGGCGAACATGCTAAAACCAGTTGCTCCTGAACTGCTTGCCATTAAAAGAGGGAGTAGGACAGGGGCAAAGCTGTTCTGACGCACAATATGTGGTGTGGAAGTTTAATTAAGGCTGGGTGGTGGAGGCGAGAACCAAGGCTGTGTCATTACCCAGACTGAGGCCAGCCACTATGACCATCCAGCTGCAGCATTAAGGCTCTAATCACTTTTACACAAATGGAGGGAGAGAGCCTCCAGAAACACTCCCATTGCTCTCACAGAGGATGTGGAAGGGCTTATAACTACCCTGCTACTTTATTAGTGGATATAAAGTATAAAAAGGATTTTAACCTGTACTTTGCTCTACAAACTGGTAGTAACAAGGCCAGTAAATGACCCAAAAAAATAATAGAACAGCAGAACTTCTAGGTAAATAATGAGGAGGTAAAATTTACAAGCAGGTGTTACAATTACTGAGAGTCCGGAGATAGGAGAGGTCATGAGGAACACTCACTCTCTTGTAGCTGGAGGGCAGCAAAGACGCCATATTCTCACTCAGACCCATGAAGGAAGGCCTTTTCTCTGGCTCGCTGTTCCAGCACTTCATCATCATCTCATACCTGAAAAGAACACAACGTTACTGGAAAAGGCAGCACAGCTAAGCCTTGTCATTTTTCAGTGATGCATGTCAGTTGCTGCACATGGGAGCTTAGAAATAACATTATTTTACAAGATGAGAAGGAGGTTTTGATAAACTGGCATTCCTGTGAATGGTTACTTACACATCTTGAGGTGCATGTTCAGGCTTTGACATTCGGTATCCGCTCTTGATCTTGTTGTAGAAACTGGAGTCTACCACCATCCCAGGGTACGGTGTGCCACCTTTTAGAAAGACATGGTTATTTATGAGTGTGAACAACTCTTCTTCTGAAGTATGTTTAAAAGGTTAAACTTTTGCCGGTGTTCACTTATTTTTTATTGCAGGAAAATAGATTTATTTAAAAAACTATCTGGGTATTTCAACAGGAGTTTTGCAGATTTTTTCCCATGCTTAGATACCTAACCTAACCTATCTAGCTGAAAAAAATCGACTTTAGTCCACATCAAGTTGTTGTTGTCCATGTTTAGGTTAACTTATTTGTTTGGGCTCTGACTGGTGAACATTATTTTGTTTGACAGCTTTTATTATTTATTACCTTAATGTAAATCTGTTTTAATTGACTAGTATGTTTTCCTGTTCTTTTCTATTTTGACAAGTAGCTAAAAGAAACTTTTATGTCATATCTTATTTATACCTTGGAAAAACAAATGAGCGACAGGGTAGGTTGCATTACAGTAATCTTTTTTTTCTTACTAGTACACTGTCACATAAAAAGGTAAAAAGTCATTATAATGTTTGCTGCTAACATATTATTATTCTCTATATAATTTCATTAGTATGTAAGAAAAGTTCAAAAGGTTACAGTATTCAATAGAGTTCAGAGAGGAAGTTCATTGGTGGTTCACCATCTTCCATCTCCATCAATTCAGAATACTCTCCATCTTCTTTGCAAATTAGCAACTAATGTAAACATAGGGATAGTTTTATGCCGTTACAGTTCATCCCAAACTATCACACAACAAAGGCAGTGTTTGAATATTGAATATAGAAGTGCATGTTGATGCAAATCCAACACACACCAATGGGTGCACTTTGCCCCATACAGTGGTCGAAGTTATGCCCAATGTATCTAATTTCCATACTAGATACCTGAATCTCTTTTTGTAAATTAAAAACACCAATTTAATTTTTAATAAACCCAAGTAAATTTTATATGTTTTTTATTTGATATCTTCAGCCTTTAAAACTACTAAGCAGAATTTGTACATAAAGAACAACAGTAAAGTCATTTACTATAGTTTTCATTCTTTTTTTTATCAATTCAGGGCATTCCTTTAAAGAGACAGCAAAACCTGGTTTATTTTTGTGATTTACAAGCTATTGTGGCAGAAAGTTAGACTAATATTGTTGCTTTAAGGAATTATTTAACAAACACAGTTTGATTTGAGAAATATATTTGCAGTGATATTCAGAAGGAGCCAAACTGTAGCACCTTTATATTAAAACACTTGTCATCTATAGTTAACTTTTATGAGAAAAATTACTTGAAAAACTTACCAAGGGTGAAGATCTCCCAGAGGAGTATGCCGTATGACCAAACATCACTAAGACTGGTGTATAAGTTGTCAAAAATACTTTCTGGTGCCATCCACTTCACTGGCAAAAAGGTCTGCCACAAAAGAGAAGGGATGTTTTTGTTAAAAGATGGGTATCATTAAAGTACTGCATGACTTACTGTTGCGAATATAAACAGATACTCACGCTTCCTTTAGAGACATAGTTGTTGTCATGCATGATGTCTCTGGCCAGCCCAAAGTCACAGATCTTGACAATTTTGCCCTGAGAGAGAAGGACGTTCCTGGCTGCGAGATCCCGATGCACACACTGTCAAAAAGGAGGTGTTGTTGTCATCTGTTTGCTGCAGCACATCATGCTCCCACAACCACAGGCTACTTCTGTGTTTCATTTTCAGCCAGTTTCATTTTTAATACTGTTTCATTTTCCTTTATAAAGCTTAAACTTTATGCAAGCAGAGCAGTTGGAAAGAAGGCCATGACCGCTGGGATATTTAGGGATAATAACTATGAAGTTGGACGGGTAGCTTCTGGCTGCAACTTGCCTCGGCTTGGTAATTCTAGCTCTTACTTTGCTGCTGCTATATTGGTTGTCTGGCCTCTCTCCTGAGTGGGTTCTACAACCTTTATGGAGCTGCTTATCATACAACCACTGCTTTCCTAAGTTCCCACCCGCTTTATTTGGCAGTCATCTTATAGAGCAAAAACAACCTGCGATTATAGCCTGTGGAATGAGAAGAATCTCATGATTGGGAGAATATTTGACTTCTTCAAGCTTACATTTTTGGAAGCAAGAAACTCCATTCCTTTGGCCACCTGGTAGGTAAAACTAAGCAGGTCGGTGGTGGTGAGACCTTCACTCGTGTCATCCGACAGCAGGTTGTCCATCTCAGATTCTGGTTTGGAAAATACACAGTGAGTGCTCATGAGTAAATGTTTACCACGTGTTGTAAATATAGCACACTTTTCTAAGACCTGGCTTTTAATGGCATTCTCAAACTGGCCATTATTATGTGAGTGCTACAATTATCTTCTCCATGTAATTACAGGCCACTTCCAGGCCTAAATTCTGACAAGGGTGTACCCCTTTAACCAGCAATGACTCAAAGGCAAGACCAAGGCCAATAACTCTGAGGACAGAGGGAGACAGAAGAACTGCTGTGCGTACCGCCAGAGCCTTTCTGTGATGGAGGGTGGTCGTAGTTCGGACCATGGATGTCTGTGTACTTGGAGTTTGTGCTCATCTCCAGCATTGGTACATACTGAGTGTTGTCTGCCTGTTTCATATCCATGTAGTCTCCTCTGCTCTCAAAGGACAGAATCACATAACTGAAAGCAAAAACAAAAGAGGAAGGTGTGTTAGAGATGGTAAGTTTGAATAATATTAAGTAATATATTAACAATTGTCTTACAGAAATATTGATACATTTTGTTACACTACAGCTGCAAACCTAATTTATTTTACTTGAAAATGACTCCAGAACATTTGCCAGGAAGAATTTGAGCAATTTGGTATGCACATATATTGAGCATAAATGGATAATTGGTATAACCTTTTACCTACATTTATGTACGTCTATTATTGGAATGTCATTAGCAGTTCTTGTCAATTAAAGATGGAAATGTACGGTAATTGGTCTTTGCAAAATAGCTCATGCACAGTGATGTTAGATGCAGGATATCTCAGGTTTCAGTCTTGCAAGATATGTTTTGTTTAATTTTCCTGTGGACTTTGACTGGACTTTTGTGACAAATCAAATAGGTTTAATCTAAATCCAAAGACTGTGCCAAATTCTTTAGGATTTGGTTTGTTGTCCTGCTGGAAGGTGAATCTTCACCTCAGTATTCAATTGTTCTGCCGCTTCTTACAGGTTTTCTTCTACGATTTAGCTACCTCCATCTTCCCGACTTTCACAGCCTTTTCTCAAGCATTATAATAGCAAAATTAACTCATTACTTTGATTAATGGGGTGTTCAAGGGTATTGCTAGTTTTTTTTTCTTCCACCAAATACTGTTCTTGCATATCCTCAATGAATTCTGCTTTATCTGTTTTATGTGGCTTTTGGTAAAGTGAAAACATGAGTTCTTAAGCCTTTACACACTCCTAGAAAGCCATAATTTTCAATCACTCAACACATATTATCATGACAGAAACTCTCACATGAGCTATGGGTGTTTGCTGTTCCCCCACACTTACCATGAGCCTTTTTGGGGATGATTTTCTGCTAAATGTTCTCCTTGCCTGACTTGTTAGTTTAGGTGGAAAATGTCCCACAAAATTTCCATATTATTTTGCCTAATGCTGTTTTAGATCAGTGAAGATTTTTTTTTCTGTTACTTGAATACATTTTCTCTTGCAGACCTTGGAGGCTCAGTAGAACAAGTAGCCTTATGATGAGATTAAAAATGCGTAAGCGGATTCTTTTACTAATCGGTTGTCTATCTAACGCAACTGGTTTCACTGCATCTTATTTACAGATGTCATTGTAAAGGATGCAGGATCTATGTAACTTAAAAAGGACCTTTTTATATGTAAAAAGCTTTTTAAAAAAATCTTTGATTTATCTTCCTCATCACAATCATTTATTACTTTGTTTTTGTCTGTCATATGAAATCTGCAAAAAAATATTTAAATCAAAGGTTTCAAAGTGACAAAATGTGGTAAGGTCAAAGGGTATGAATATTTTTCCAATGTAATCAATCTGATAATAAGTATACATCAGTTTTTGTAATCACTTGTTCTCCCGTTTCTAGGGCTGAGGTTAGAGGGCGATGTGGTTGAGGCCAACATGGTAGCCAAGATTAAATCATGTTATGGTGTTTCGAGGCGTGGTCACTGTGAGTCATCCATCAGCAGATGCTCCTCAAAAAGAAGACGAGGCTGATGTTTCACTGAATGCTAGGGAGGATACAATTAACAGGTAGCTCAGTAGAAACAACATTAGGCTGAAAGCTGAGATCCCTTCGAGCTTTGATCTGATTAGGAGAAGATGCCAGGCAATATCCGTTACCACTGAGAAAATGGTGATTATGTTACTGTTTAGGAAATGTTTCCATTAAATACAAAAATGTAAATGTGTTTGGAATTAAACATGGTTATCTGTCAGAACAAAACATGTAGAGCTTTTTGGCCATTCGCTTTGGATGCCATACCTCCTGCTGTTCTCATCTGCAGGATTGATCCCAAAGATATCCAGCTCCTTCTTGTTTTTCTCAGGACTCAAGCTGAGGAAGCTCTCCCTGTTCTTGTGTAGATAGTTGACCAGGTCACCATGGAAGCAGTACTCAGTGATAATGTAGATAGGGCCTGGGAAACAACACAGAAGATAAAGGCGTGCATCGGCGTCAGTCTGCAGGCTAATCTTATCAGAGGCTCATAAAGGCTAAAAGCACAGCCAGGAGAGCAAGCTTCTACTTTCCCATAAAAAGCCAATTAAAATAGCAGGCCCACCAAGAGCTGTCAATTTACTGTGGCTGTTAGAGCTGTAAATGTCTTCTATGGCCAAATACGGGTTTGTGTTTGTGTGCACATGCACGTGATTAAGGGAAAAACTGTGCAAAGTGATGACTGGTTTATGTAAATGAAACAACAATGGCTGTACTACACTATTATTATTGAGCACGTCTATGGCTATGAGTGAGCATGTTTATTAAGAACTTCTGTTTTTGTGTGTGCTTTTATCACCTGACTTGGTGCATGCTCCCAAAAGGTTTACAATGTTGAGATGGGGTCCAAGGTGAGTCATGATCTTCAGTTCAGACATCAGAGCCTGCTTTTCACTGGAGCGAGCTGTGGCTGAAAGAAGGCACAGGACCATAACTATCACAAAACAGTTAGAGCACAGAGGATTCATCAAAGCACGCATCAGCCATCTCTTATCCTCCAGTTAATTTTCTTACTATTTATCTTTGATTGTTTGGTTGGTTGTTTGTTTAAGAAAAGCTTGGGTTTTTTTACGCTTAAAAGAAATTACAGACATAACAGACTTAATCTGCAAGACTAACAGAAAACTGTCATGTGGTAAACTAGGAAACTTTAAATTTTTAATTGTGTAAAATGTATTTTTAAGACAACTTCAGATTAACAAAGAAGTCAAACCCAAAATATATATGTCATAATAGATCTGAATATATGCACAATATTCCCTTTTCCTTTTAAATTTGTACAATGATACGAAAAAAAGAACTGTAAACATGGTAACCAAATTGAGAGTTTGCCACCATTAAAGAACATAATTCATCAAGTTAGAAAACACAAAGTATAGACAATACTATTAGTTGGGTATTTTACAATCATACTCCGTTGACAAAGCTAATTAAGAAAACCCAAGTGGGCAATTTGTAGTTCATCTTAATATTTTAAAAAATTGCTTTTAGGACTGTTTAATGTCTCATCAGTGATGCTAAATCTTACTTTGTTAATGTGGTTCACCTTAGAGTCTTAAAACCAGAAGCAGCTGAAGATTCCAGACTAATCCTGTTTGCCAGAGCATGCTGGCAGTAACCAGACAGTGGCTACCAGAGGCATTCCTCATGTCTTAAATAAAAGTTTGTTAAACTTACGTTTCAGCATTTTCACTGCCACCTTCATTACAGGCTGAGAACAGCTGAGTCCATAGGCGGTGCCTTCAACCACCTTTCCAAAGGCTCCAGAGCCCAGGATCCGACCTGAGAATGACAGGAGGATGTACAGTATGGATTAGTTATTCAGGGTGAAAGGGACATAGACAATCTGCTTTATCATCATTGCAGTGGTTCAATCTCCCTTTCATCTATGAAAGGGAGATTCAATTAAATCCAAGCCATCAGTAACCAACCAGTCCTAGCTTACTTATCACAGCTTCAATTCAAAGCCTGAGTAAGATTCAGAAGTTGCAACATCTCCAGAGGAAACCATATGTTTCTAAAACATTAAACTCACCAAGCACAAGTCTATCTCGGGGAAATTCCCATCTGGAGTCGTAGGGAAGCTGCATGGGATCTACATAGATGTACTCATGGCCGTCCGGACTCACAGATTCTATGACCCTCCAGCGGATCTCATACCGTGGTTTCTAGATGGCATAGAACACATGAATTCATCATTGTCTGTTAAAGTAAAACATAATATGAACATCTTTGAACAGGCAGAGCAGCAAAACCAGATGCACAATATTTAAATCTCATGTTAACATATTTTGGTTTTGAACTGTAACCGCATATGGCTGAAAAATGGAAAATGAGCAACAGAATGGATAAACATGCGAGAAGTGAAGGTGTGCCAAATGATTCCAACAATACCTGCTTCCAGATAACAACCAAGACAATGAGTGAGATGATGACAATGACCAGTAGAACCAGCACTGCGGCAGCTACCGTCAGCTCAGGGTGAGGGCCTGTTTGTAGGAAAGCCAGTGATTGCATTTTTTACATTCTGAACACTTTTCATCACATGTATGATTGAAAGTAAACACACCTTATGTGTTGCAATGAAACATTCCCTTTAAATGGGGTTTAAAACTACCGTACATGGGAATCTGGACAACCACCCCCTCAAAAAGGTATGCTGGTAAGGAGCGGGGAGGAGTCAAGAGACTTGCATTATTAGGGAATGATTATAAGGGTATAAAACTCATGCTGTGGTGTATTATTTTTTTATCCTATGGTTTATGATCCCGTAATTATCTGTCAAAATATTTATCAACCCTTTCCTTGTAGAAAATGGGTTCACATTTACCGTAAAAGTTACGTTTTTAATTTAAAAAACTAATTACTGTTTTGCTTTACAAATATATAAAAGGGAATAATCCATGAACTTATAATTAGTGTTATTTTTAGAGGGAAACATTGTATTTACATTTCATTAAGAAGTCAAAAGTAAACAAACACTTTTGGATTGGCTCTGCATTTCAAAACATTGCTCAACTTGCTAGTGATTCTAGTGAAGGCTAATAAGAGCCATATTGTCTGATCCATTTTGCAGAGACAAGTTGCAGACCTCTGCTGTAGACCAATAGCAGCTGCCTAAGCACAAATTCATTGTCTTCTTCAGTAGAACGGCCATTTCAATGGCAAAAAAGAGCATCTAAATTCATTTGTATGCAGCCATTGAGTGGAGTTCTTACCAGTGGACACCAGTTTGATCTCCCTGCTATCTACACCCAGTTCATTCTTGGTAAAGCATCGGACTGACAGAGTGCTTTCCAGATGACCAAACATCACTTGGGCCTCCAGATTGCTCTTTTCATCCAGGTGCGACTCCATCGTGATCTCTGTGGAGTTGGTGGGTAGAGGCGCCCAAGAAGACGTGTCATTGGCACATCTTGAGGGAAATAAAGAAATAATTATTAGGTTACATTGGGTATACATGCATGCATTCAAAAAGGAAACAAATTGCAATTCTCTTACTGTTTAATGTTCTTGCATATGAACCACTCTACAACGGGAGTGGGTTGCCCCCTGGTAATGCACACTGCTGATTGTCCTGTGGCTGAACCATGGTGGAGGTCCATAAGATCCACAATGACTGCTGGCACTGTAAAATTATGAGCAAAACAGGGTTTGGGCATATCAGTGTGTATGAAAAGATGTAATCTGATTGACCCTAACAGTGGCTAATGTTGGATCATTAAGATCCAATTTATTGTGTCAGAGGGCATCTTCCTCCTGACCTTTAACCACCAGGTGTAAGCTGACTTCATGGCTTTGGTTTCCATTCTCCACTCGCATGGTGTAGTTCCCACTGTCCTCCTCCCTCACCCGGATCAGGGTGAGAACGCTTCTGTAGCTGTGCAAATCAACAGAAACGTCTCTCACCACAGCAGCTCAAAACAGTATAAGACATTTTTGCATAACGCTTTGTTTACTTTTAAATTAGTATTGACAAAGACTAACCTTGTCTCACTTGTCTTCTGCAGATTAGTGGAGAACTCAGCGGTCACATCATTGAGTGGAATGCCATCCTTGAACCAAGTAACATGGGCATCGGGAAAGGAGGATATTGTAGCGCTTAACTCCCGGACCTCATCCAGTCTTGCAGATTCATGGTGCTGAAAGTCCGGGTTGATCGTTAAAAACTCACCGGCTGTTGGAAAAGAGGTGGTCAGCAATGCTAAATACCAATTCAGAAAAGGCCTTGATGGAATAACAAATAAAAAATATTAACCCTAAGTAGGCAAGCTAAATACTCATACCAAAAACTTGAATAGCTATTTCCTTTGTCTGGGTCTCTCTAGACGCCACAGTAGTAATGGAACATGAGTAGTTGCCGCTGTCTTTGGTTGAGGCATGTGGGATCGTCAGGGTGTACAGAATCTCTCTATCTTTCCTGCTTTCTCGTACAGTTTTTGTACCACGATTAGCCTGTAACACAAAAACAATTATATAACCTTTAGATATCTCCTACATAACATGAAACATGTAACATATTTGGAGAATGGACTGGGATTTATATATTTATGTATTAGCTCACCAGTTTGCCAGGGTATTTCCAGTTATCTTCGAGTAGGTAAGGTCCTTGAGCCAGACAGTTGACAGTTATTGTTTCTCCAACGAGCAGAGCAGTTCTTTCGGCATAGAGCTTAACTTGCAACATATCTGAAACAGGGCAGTTGATACTGCTGAATTTTTTTGTGTGATATCAGAAAGCCACATGGAAAATTTTAAAAACAATAAATGTAACTTACAAGCTCAAAAACCCTAAGACACGCACCTATTGAATCCTGGACGATGTACTCTTCACTGGTGTGCACCTCTCCATTTATTATGGCCTTGCATACATAAGTTCCTGCAGAAAATGTTCCTAAAGCGCCCTGTTTACTATCATACATACAAGGCACAGGTTGGTTGGTGTCAACATTGACCAGTGTCACTATGGCACTGGGATCAGACACCCTACATGGAATCTCAACATCACTTCGCTCAGGCGGCAGATGGTATATGTATGCTGGCAGGAAGGGAGAGTCTGGATCTGTGTTGGGATAAAATGAGTCTTTCAAACAAGAGAAAAAAGCTAATCTACCCCAAAAGACGCAAAGAGATCCAAGATTCATACCTGGTACATAGATGTAAATGCTGCTTGCCTCGGCTTCCTCTGTGATGTTGCCACTATATTGGCAAGTGTAATAACCAGTGTGCATTAATGTTGCTATGTCCACAGTTATGGTGGAGACAAAAACGCCGCGGTCCACCTGTGATTGTTCCACCCTATGGAATGGTGTGTCCCATACAAGTTTTGTGCCTCCACGACATGTTAAAGTGAAAGACGAGTGGAGGGGAACAACCATTTCTTCCAGGTCTGGTTGCAGAAGGGGGGCGGAGGAGGGTCTGATATCAAGTCTGGTAGCTGGAAAAGGACACGTATTGAGAATTCAGTCATAAATAAGCAATCGTAAACCACGCATTAATCCAGCTAATATTTATTTTTCAATCTGCCTATTTTACCTGTCATTTTGAGAATAAATGAGAAGTGAGCAGTTTGTGTGCCACTTATGGCTGTTATTGTGTAATTTCCATTATCCTTCTCCATAGGTACTCGGAATGTTATAGTGCTCTGATACCTGTGTGAGAAACATTTGAGCTGATGAAATTATGTTGAACGAAATTATACAATATTTATATTTTAATCAGATGAGAATGTATATTCATCCATAGTGCGAAATATTCATAGACCTTGACCTTTTTCACATTTTATTTCATTACAACCACAAATCCCATCTTTTGTCAATTTTTTTATCAATATAGTACTTTCTTGTAAGAGAAAGAACACCTAATTTTAATTTCATTTTTTTTAACTAGATAAATTTGTATTGAGTGCCCCTGTCCCATTCAAGCTACTCCTCAGTTATGATCAACCTGGTTTCTTGTATATAGCCCCAGTGAAATATGTAGAAGTTTGTGGTTGTTTTGGAAGAAATTGTGAAAATATTTCAAGGAATATTGATCATTCTTTGTATTTCAGCTTTGTAGCTTCTTGCTCATGCACATTTTATTAAAGAAAAACAAACTTTGCACTCACCGATTCCCCTCAATGCGACTAAATTTTGTGAAAATGTAAAAGTCCTCTGTTAGTGCTTGGTCATCTTTCATCCATGAAACTTTAGGAGTTGGGTATGCATTAATGTAGATTGTGAACTGTGTCTCTTCAAAAATTGTGACAAACTCTGTCTGCAGAATCCCTCTAGGATCCAGGGTTAAAAAGGAGTTATCCTCTGTGACAGCAAAGCAAAAAAAGTTGCAAATAATCATGATTATTGATTCTAAAAATGTCTAACAATACAGAGTCAGTATGGAAAAGGGGTGAGAGGAGAAAATGAGACTGAGTGATTGAGAGGGCTGAGGTGAAATAAAGGCCTGACACACATCTGTTGAAACCATCCCATAAAACACGATGCATGATGGTAAAAACAGAGCTCAAGCTTTCTTGTTGCATTGAAGAAAATCTCTTTCACACATAACTAAACCCACAATGTGCACATATGTGAATACGCTAATTCACCTGAATGATGATGAGGATATCAAACATTTATTAGGGATTGTAAATCACCACATGGAGCACAGAGTATTATACTCCAGTTGGAAGCTTATTCAAAATATTTAGAGAATGCTTCGGAGAGGGAGACTTACCGAACACAGTTACAGCCACTCTGCCCGCTTTGGCTTTTCCACTGGCCTCATTCCTGACCGAGCACTCATAGCTGCCGCCGTCCTGAACCGTGGCTTGTGGGATACTCAAAGTGTGGATGACCTTGTCCATAAGAGTTAACTCTGTCCGGAATGCATTTACAGCCTAAAGATAAAAATATATGCAAAGCTACTCTCAAGTGACATGGTAATCACAAGAAAAAAGCATTTGGTTTAAACATATATTTGGTTGTTTAAGCTTGGTGTGTTTTGTCCATCACACAGTTACTGTACCAGGCTAATGACTAAAACATTTGTAAGGGCAGGAGATAAATCAGGATTATTGACCCTTTTAAAGCTTGTAATTGCACCTGAGGACAGAGCCAGGAGTCAGGCCTTGTACATTTCTACCTCAATTTCTCTGGAAAATGGCTTCAAAGAAGCAAAGAATCATCAATGTGCCTCAAAGTTTGACGAATCTGGGCAGCACTAACATAAATGAAAACACTGGCTTCAAAGGTGTACCCTAAACACAGTAATATTTTGACACATTACAAATGCAAGGATGCAGAGCTTATTTTAAGAGAACCAACAGCATCAGGAAGACTAAGAATTACAACAGATAGGTCAGGGAGAAGGTTCGAGACAGAAGCCAGGTTGAAATATATTACCATCTCCACAGTCTTGAATATTTCACAGAGTGTGTTTAATCCATCACCCTACATTGGAAGGAATACAGCACAACTGTGACTATACCAAGACATGAACTGATTAGAGAAATGGCTAAGAGAACTATGCTAACTCCAGAAGAGCTACAGAAATCCACATCTCACATGGGAAAATATGTTAATGGGAAAACTATTAGTCACACACTCCAACCTGGTGAAAACAAAGGCCTTGCTAAAGAATACATTAAGAAGTCCCATTTAAGGTGAAATAAAAAATATAGAAGAAGTTGCTGTGGTCAGATGAGACAAAACAGAAATTTCTGAATGAGATGTGATGTACTTTAGCACAAAACTGAAACTGCTTCTAAACACACCATCAGCACTGTTAAACATTGATGGCATAATGCTCTTTGAATGCTTCTTTAGGGACTCCACTGCTACACTTAGATGCTTTCGATTGAAGTAAATGCAGGTGTTAAAATGGCCTAACCAGAGTCCGAGTGAGAATCTATCTTCAAAGGTGATGTTCAGAGAAACTCTCCATCTAAGACTAGCAATTTTTCCAAGGAAAAGGGCTCTGGATATATAAGGCTGGTATAGATATACTAAAACAGACTTGCAGCAGTGATTGGACAGAGAGATGCATCTAAAAGGTGATGCACACAATAACTTTCAGATTTGTCATTTCTAGAATGTTCCTTTATTCACCTATGAGCCTCTGTACCAAATACATTCGGATTTAAAGTACACTAAAGTTTGCAGCTTTAATATTACTAAATGGGAAAAGGTTAACTGGATATGAATACTTTTTTGTGTGAGTGTGCAATGCTCTAAAAAACCTTGAAAAGTACCTGGTGTTTATCTGAATGATATGTGGAGACAGCATCCGTCCTACAGGTCTCATGGTCTGCAGGTTCAAAGGATTAACTATTGCCTTATTTACCGTCCTTTGAGCTGCTTCCTTTCCTTAAGCCATAAGTCATGAACCTTTAACCTTCCTGTCAGACTCTTTGGCATGGGGTTAACTGCCACAGTGGGTTTTTCTTAAATGTCCCAATCAAGAAAAGATTATCTAACAAATATGCAACCGTGAAGAGACAAGCAAGATTTCTATGAAAACATAAAGGTATGTGTCCTAAATGTATTAATGATTACAGTATATATCACGTGGAATGGAAACAAAACTAGAGACTAAGATTAATATGAGTTCTGAATAAACAGGAATACAGGACAAAGATAGAAAGCAACTATTTCTTACCTGTGTTTTGAGATAGATCCACTGCTGATGAAAGGATGGGCCCAAGGGTATGATGCAGGAGATGTTCAAGGGCTGCCCAACTCTTATCATCTCTTCACTAGCACTGACCTTTATTTCAAAGTCATTCGCCTCACTGGGTTCTGCAGGAAGGACCACCACAGAGAGGCTATCAATACCCGGCATCTCACAAGAACCAAGATGTCGACAGCTTGATTACTGTGACCAAATTTATTATATTGTAATGGCTGTTTTCATTCTCAGACACACAATGCAGAAGAACAAAGCATTCTAAGCTCATTTAAGTGGCGTAATACAATGCACACATCACATTGTGGTTATTGCCAAAAAACATCTGAAGTATTCTTTCTGCTCTTGTTTTGTTTTGCCATGATTCTCTATGTTTTCTTTATTTTTGCCAGATTTTTCGAAACCCCACTCTGTGTTCTCACATCTGGCTCACATTCGAAATACATGTGAATTTCCTTAACGGAGAGATTTTATTAAAACATGAAAAAAAATTATAAA